TATAGAAACCCTAACCCACACGAGCTTACACAAAAATACGGACCTGTTGCACTTGTACGATCGAAGTACGGGGCTGGAGACAGAAATCACCTGCTGTGTAAGCATGACACTACACCAAAACTGGTCGACTTCAAGTACCATAAAGAGCTCTTGAAATCCAGTATCTACGTGGCAGGGGTTAATCTCCATTTCCCTCACGACGGGTTTAGTTTGACAAGTTAACAGGATTGCGAACGCCGGTAAATGATATCCAACATACGCCAGACACCCAGACACCCAGACCTAGCCGCCTGGGGAACCTATTCGCCGTATCCTTCCCACAGCTTGTCTCAGAATCCGGAGATTACAGGACTGGGGGAGTAGTGGATTTCAAGAGTTTTTGCGGTAGTTGAAATTCCCCGTGGGTTACCCAAAAATACAGGAGATACTGGGCACTAGTACAAGCTTTGGAACCATGTCAACCTTTCATATACAAAAGCTTAGGGCTAGTAAAAATAAATTGCTGTTTTGATTGCTAGAACCGCCCGGTCATGCTTGGGAAGCGGTCTAAGAACCACAGCTTCCCACATACAAATCGCCAAGGCACAATGTCAATTTCACTTTCTGATCAACAGGCGTACCAAAAAATGATATTTACCTGTAAAAACCTGGAAGGGAGAGTCTTGGGGGTTCTCTTAGATATCCAGTCGGATTTGTATTTTATTCATTGGGTAGAGGTGGTACAATGTTGCGAACATGGCTACTTTTGGTGCAAAACGCCGGACGCACTTCCGCTGGTGACTTTTGTCCCCAGCCTGCTATTGTACCTGCTAAGAATAAAAGAGGTCTTGGTCACCGATAGAGTATATCACAGAAAAATGTCGGCATCACACTGTATGTGTCATGCCGCTTGCATCGGGCCTCTGCAGGGTGTCGATATCAACTAGGAGCCGATCCCCCCGATTTCCCAGTGGCAGATTGAACTGATATCAATAAAAGGACGAGTGCACGGAATACAGGGAGGGCCCCCTCGGTTCTGATTTCGACCTAAGTTACTTGGATTGCCTCTGTTACTGTGATTTGGCTTTGAAGGTCTCTAGAGTACAGTATATACTATAATTACTGGTACTCTAGCATTGCCGGCCCGGGGCTAGGACAATTGAATTCCAAGAAATTTGTAGGGGCTCGATTCCCTTGCAATCCAACTCTTTTTTTCAAGCTCCTTCTCCCCAATCGCTGGACTCTGTTGGAAATGGCGAGATGCTGCTCGGCATGCTCGCACCTTTCCCTACCCCCACTACCCCCCCTTCCCCTTTGTCCCCTATTCCCCCATTCTCCCATCCCCCCCCCCTCTCCCTTACCCCATGGTTTGCTTTGTTCGTTTGGCTTTCAGGGAAGTGCTGCGGCAGCGTGGCAGGAGAGCGCGCGGCGGAGGAGCGCGGCGGAAGAGGGCAGCAGAAGGGCGCACAGCGGAAGAGCGCGAGTTTGTCTTCTTTGTTAGTTTTTTCTTGTTTGCTAGTGTATGGGAGACGTACCTTGATGGATAGGGGGGGGGAGAGGCGTGAGTTTGTTTTTCCTTTGGTAGCTTGTGTTTGCTCAGATTCGGGGGACTTACCTGAGAGGGAGTGGGGATGATAGGATTTTTTGTTGCTGTCGCTTGTGGTTGATATATACTCCTGTCATGACTGTTAGTTAGTTAGTTGTGCGTGCGATAGTTAAAGGGAGTGAGTGTGTTTGGAGAGGAGAAAGTGAAGAGAAGAGTTTTTCCCACCCGTGAGTTGTGCGATCCTTTAGTCATCACTTGGCGTTTGTTGTGGATCACCGCTAGTCACTCGTTCGTTTCACGACGACCCAGCGATCACGAATTTTATCAGACTCTAGTTCCATTGCTCCCATTCTCGTCAGGATTGATTGGAGCGAAGGTGAGAAATAACTTTTCTTTTTTATTCTTAAACAGATAGAGGCAGGTAACCTCGCTTATTGTACACCATTTAAATTCATCCAGCGGGTCGCAGGCTAGCGGATCAGAACCTAGTTCACGCCTCAAGAAGTAGAAAAGAGACTTGTTCTCCCATTGTTAGCTTCAATTACGGGTCACGATTTATTCGTAATTCGTCCTTGGACCTTTCTGCGCCTCCATAAAGGCCTCTGGCACAACACACTCTATCGCACTCAGAAATTGTTACATCGTCCCGGGTTGTTCCCCTTGGGGGGAGATAGTGCCAAAGAGAGGACAAGCGTGATAGCTCCCCCTTACCCGTGTTCTGCTAGCATGCGGGGCCGCTGTAATACGCCACTGTGATACCGCATAATGTGGCGAGGGTCGCCTAACCTCGTTAGTCAAAACAGGCGAGTTTGCTTTGTAATCCGAGTCAAATGAGCACCGATATCATAGTAAAGCGACTTCATTTAACCCTTTATGGCCAAACATGGACCTATTCTGGACTTTCGCTGACTCCATTAGATCTTTTCCTTCTGCCACCACATTATTTCAACTTGCAAGCCGCAGGCGGGTCTCGCCATAATGCGGTATCATCCCGTAGAATCCCACCCCACTTTACCTAAATCATCGGGGGTGTAGGAACAGCACTTCCGTGACTCTTCCCGCATGGTTTGTTGGCAGGTACGATACTAGGTCTACGATCAAGGTTGTGGTCCCTGCCATCACATCTACCATGGTGCACTAATCATAGGATTCATGTATGAACCGGGTTGTGGGGCCAGATTTCGCCCTGGCCATGGCCCTTCCTAAGTGCGAGCTAGAACACTATGCAGCTTGTTCTTCGGGAGCCGTGAGAATCTTGGTAGCGGGAAGTCCGTCCGGGATTTTCCAGATATTCCAACCCTTTGAGCCCCCAAAATGGCCCTAATCCATCAATTATTTGCATTTCATTTCTTCAGTGAAATATTTGCGGGACTAATTTCGTCTAATGCAATAGTGAGCTGATTTCCAGAAGAAGGCTCTTAGCAGTGGAAACATGTTAAAGAAGGTTTACAGCCTTATAATCTCTTGCTATCCCGACTAATTACTACTGGACTAGTGGGGCGGCAGGCCGCCGAGCGTTTTCTATCACACACAATGTGTTGAACCTCCCGGCTGAGTGCAGCGCAGGACCGGTGAGACAGTGCTGCCAGTAGATGGGGCATCTTTTCAACATCAATCCCACCCGCCTTAACGACCACGATCCCGATTCATGAGCCTAATGAGATGGAATAACACGACAAATAACGCCTCTCTGGGTCTCTGGGGCCAATTACTCGAGTCGGACGGATGCAAATTGTAACCCAGAGACCCCCTAGCCCCGGCCTGGCAAGTAGCAATTCATGACAGGCGACTGTTCTGAAAGGGCCAGGTCCGGTTGGTTCTGCAAGATGTTATGCAGAATACCCGCTGGGACCCCACTATTGCCGAGATAACCTTACGGGCAGTGGTCTAGAAACGCAACTCTAAATGGATAATGCAGTGATCCTTCCTCTTGCATGCCCCCGCAGGTGGTACCTTGCCCCTTACAGGAAGGTATCATATTTGTTCATATGACATACCCCCAAAGAGTGTACTGTACCTGTAGTAAAACCCCCAACCGTGAATATAACCATACACCTTGCGAGGGCAACTAACTTATGTTACAGTGTAAGCATTTGGCGTCCACAAACAAAACAATCCCATTTGTTAGCTACTTGACTCTAGTCGGATTCTTGCGGCGGGAAACAGAGATATTAAATTATCGACATCCAAATCTTACGTAAATTTCCTGGAGGACTAAAAGCCCGCGAAAGCAAAGGGTCTGAGGAAATGCTTGCGCCGAGGAAAATCTGCCTTGAACGGCACTAAGATGTCCATTGACCGGAAAGCCACAATCAAGGCAATGTCCCGATCCTTCGCGATCATATTTCCCGTCAACACTACCGGTATCACACAACATAGAGGAATTTTTAGCTAGCTTAAAAAAGGGATAAAAAGGGGATTAAAAGAAAGGACAATCACGGAGACTTTGTGTTCCGATCCTTTGAGAGGATCATGTGGTTCACGGGAGCTGAAAACTCAAAAGCTGTCAGAACATGGGCAAGAATTTCTGGATAGAGTTATGATTAGATCCTAAGCAAGTACTGGGCCCACTTAAATCTAGCTTTTTTTTGTATTCTCTTCTATCGTGAACAATTACGCCCCCACGGAAATTGGTGCGACGCAATAACAAAAGAGGTGTTTCTAAGCCCCATGTACAGTACAGTACAGCAGGCACAGTTACCGTGCATTACTTGTACAGTACAGCGTGCCTTTGGTGGGGTTTTATCCTTGTACCTGCAGTAACAATTTGTTGTTCGCTGTGCATATCAGTAAGAATTAGCCGCAATATCTCGAAAGTGTGGGGCCTATCTGTACTCCTGAAAATATGGCAAGTACCGGCGGGGGGATTACACTTTCTGTTGGTAACAGAAATAATATACCATCGAATTCCAATACCTTCAGAGGAAGAGAGCCGTCTCTAGCCTTTTTGTCTTCCAAAGCAATAAGAAATATGATGTCCTACCATATGCTTAACTTTCGCTTCGTTCTCGCTTCTTAACCAATCATCTGGCTCACAAAAGGAAGCTCTCGCGGTTCAGAGAACCTACACGGGGATTGGAACCGGAGGAGTACAAAAAAAACTGATCCCTGGAAATATAGGCTTATCTCCAATATCATATGTTTATTCCTGTTCTTAGCATTCGCTGAGCTCCTAATTCGGCAAGAGATTAATTGAGTTTATTTTCGCTAGAATAGTTATCAAATACCTAGAGAATATTCGGCACTTAAGCTCACCATTGCGAGCTACGGTTATATCATACCACACTGTGGGGTCTGGGCCTGTAACCTTAAGCGTAATCGGAGTGCTGACCGGGGACTCTAAAGAGTGGTCCTTGATGTGCCCCGTTACTGTGTTATATTGGAGAGCTCGTGTATAAATACCACCACATATCCCACCTTTTATACTTCCCCACCAACACTAGTTCCCAGCAGAATCAGTCTTCTACCTACCGTCAAGTCTTCTAATAATCTTTAAATCCTTAACCATGAAGTACATCGCCTCAATTGCCGCTCTCTGCCTTTCAATGGCGGCAACCGTCTTCTCTCAGGCCACTCCCAGCACCGATGGAACTTGCGGAGGAGCAACTGGATACACATGCACAGGCACAACATACGGGACCTGCTGTTCCCCCTACGGATACTGGTATGTCACCTCCTCCCGTTTTTCCCACCCCAAGTAACAGAACCAATGAGTAACCCCTTCATAGTGGAAGCACGACGGCTCACTGCGGTGGTGGCTGTCAGCCCACCTTCGGAACCTGCACCGGAACCAACGAGACGCCAGACGGCAGCTGTGGACCCGCATTCAACAACTACATCTGCACACCAAACTTCGGGAATTGCTGCTCCGCAAGCGGATGGTGTGGAAATAGCGGTGCTTACTGCGGCGCTGGATGGTTTGCCCTCCCTCGCTCTCTGCTCCCACGATCCCGCCTGCTAATGGTGTTTGCTTGATAGTCAGGGAAGCTACTCCTCCGCTGGTGCTTGTTTGACCTCCGGCATTCCGTCTGTTGACGGGACTTGCGGTGGGACCAACGGATATACCTGCACTGGTGGTGAGTTCGATGGCCAATGCTGCTCTCAGTATAAGTATTGCGGAAGCACCACAGGCCACTGCTCAGCGTCTGAGGGATGGTGAGTCTTTCTCTACCCAGCTGTCAATTATTGACCGGAAGTTAACTGTTAGATAGTCAACCCGCGTTCGGGGCTCCGTGCACCTAAGTGCATAATCTAGGTTCCTGCTTCATGTGCTTATGTAGGGAATGAATTTGGAGTAGTAATGACCCGAAGGAGCTGTGGCCGGGGGTGTATGTAATACAATGACATGGAAATGGTATTGCGATTGTCACGAGATATTATACTTAAATTTTTTTTCTTGTGAGCCGTTGGGAGAGTGATTTATGGTACCAAGTATTGGATTTTCCCTCTAGGCCAAAGCCACTGGGTTTTTCCCTATCCTTCTGCGGAAAAAAAATGGTCTATCATATACTCATGGCCTCTCGCTACCTGATCAGAAATCAGGCGCGAAACGCTACCCTGGAAAGAAAACGCGAGCCGGGCGGGATAATTATCTGTCCATCCATCCGCCGCCTCCCTTTGTATGGCCCGAGCATAAGCGGCACAAGCAGAGTAAGTTCAACCTAGTACTGTACCGGCACAACTTTTGGCATACCCGGGCTTGCCATCCACTACGAATCATACGCAGAAAATCAAGGGGTTCTAAATACCAGAAACATAAGGTCATAGAATCCCACCTAGGAGATGATTCGAAGGTCTTATCAGGTTGGTCATGTTTTTCTTGGCCCACCTTCCCCGAAAGAAACTCTGCTCTAATCTTGTGGCTTTTGTTAGGTGGCTACAGGCTGTGATGTCTTGATACATAGCTTGAGAGTGTTGTGTAAGAAAGAAAAAGAATTCTATGGGTATTCAAGACATTCGAGTTCTATTAAGTCAGAAGTTGAAATACAGTTCTGAGGTCCCCGGCAAGAATAATAATCTGCTTGCATGGACTGCAGCGCTCAGGTACTGTACACGTCAACAGGGAAGTTTCCGAACACAGGGGGGGGGGGGGGTATTTTATGTTGGCGCTTAGATACAAGTGCTGTACCGAGAGATTTTTGCCATATATTTCTTTAATCCCTGTTTTTGGTCTTGTACGAGTACAAGTACGGTACCGTACGAGTATGATACTTAACATATGGGCTGGGACAACTGCAGCACCCGCACTACCGGTAGTACTGAGAGTAGGTACAGTATTCCTGCAGGGGTTGGGATACCTTGAGAGTCACCACAAGTAAGGTTTCGCTAGCAGGGTTCTTCCTTCATGTCAACTCTGCTATACACAGGAAGACACCGATTGGCTAAGTTACAAAAGTTGCCTAAGCGCTCTATTACTCATGTATGATACCCTTTAGCTATCTAGAGTATGTTTCACAATACCCCGCTTCATAACCCCAGCCCTACTCCCTCGGCCCGTCATCGACACCACCATCGAGATACGGAATGGATCCGAATCCCAATACTAGCTTCAGCCATAATCTCAATAGCTTTAATGTTTCCAATACTTATAACCTCCCGGATGACCGATCCAGAGTTCTGCAATGGCTATCTCCTTTAGAGCCGCGGAAAAGGCACCAGGATGTGCGCATCCGAAGACTTGACGGTACAGGTGAATGGCTTTTGGGGGCGGCCGAGTTTAAAAAATGGTGCCATGGGAGGGACGGGTCCGTCACTTCAACGCTGTTTTGCTATGGGGATCCAGGTGCCGGAAAAACCCATATGAGGTACTGCGCTTCCCCTTATCAACAGCTCCTGCTCATTATCTGCTTTAGCTCTCTCGTTGTTGATACCCTCTGCGACCAAATTACTGGGAAAGATGTGGGAGTCGCGTGCCTGTACTGCGATTTTCATGCTCAGGAGGAGCAAGTGACGACCTCTATGATGGGTGGGATTCTGAAGCAGCTCGTGGCCGGTTTGGACGAAACACCCGGGGAAATAGACAACGCTTTCCAAAAGGCGAAGAGATGTGTCGGCGGACGTGGGCTTCGACTCCCAGATATTCTTACACTATTGGAACAGACCCTTGCATCCTTCCGTCGGACCTTCATATGCATTGATGGATTAGACGAATATGCCGTTGAGCGCAGACCCGAACTCCTACGCTCTCTCCAGCGGGTTCTTCGCAGTTCGCCAACTACACGATTATTTCTGACCGGGAGACCGCATCTACGGGAGGAAGTAAAGAAGCATCTTTCAGAATCAATATCATGTCTAGCTATCAAGCCTCACGAGAGTGATATTAGGAGGTACATTTCCATGAAGATGAGCGAGGACCCAGATCCGGATGCAATGGACAGCGAGTTGGAATCCGAGATAATGACCAGTGTCTGCGAGAACTTTTCAGATATGTGAGTCAGGAAGCGAGAAGCCAATGTGACACCGCCGACATTTCCTAACAAGTACTGCAGATTTTTGCTAGTTGCATTACAAATCGAGGCCGTGTTAGGAGAGACATGCATTCATCAGAGAAGACAAAAACTTCACCAAAAGGCCAGTAATCTACACGATGTGTATACCACAACGCTCGATAGGATACGCCAGCAACGCGGAGACAAGTCAAGGCTTGGCATAGCAGTTCTGTTGTGGGTTTCTTTGGCACAGCGGCCTCTATCCCCCAGTGAACTGTGTGACGCCCTCGGAGTAGAAATTGGATCCGTCGATATCAACACCCAAAACATCCCCCCAATACAGACTTTGCTAGGGTCTTGTCTAGGGCTGGTAACCGTCGATAAAGAAACCTCGAGAGTTCGTCTTATCCACTCCACCCTTCAAGAATTCCTCCAGGCTCATACAACCCTTTTTCACAATGCCCATGCTAAGATTGCCGAGGTCTGCTTGACATATTTAAACTTTTCATCAGTCAAAGCTCTTCCCCTGTCGATAGGGGCGGCACCGTCGAGTATGCCATTTCTTATTTACGCTTCATACTACTGGGGATACCATGCTGAGAAAGAATTGACGGAGTCTGTGAGAGTGCGTGCCCTTGGCCATCTTGAGGGCTACGAGAAATATGCATCAGGAACTTTACTTTCTTTTTCCGAAAGCCACGAAATAAGGGGAGTCGCCGAGGAAGGATCCCCATTGTGGGGATGTCTGAGATCCTACGTGTGGAGAGGTTTCCCCAACGGTGCTGGTAGTGGGATTTCCGGTCTACATTGCGCTGTATTATTCGGCCTCGATGAGCTCGTGTCATCATTGATGGAACTCGAAAGTTCCGACATCAACCAACCAGACTTTCGAGGGAAGACCCTACTCGCATGGGCTGTCCACAAGGGTAATAACAAAATATTCAAGCTTCTTCTGAGAGATCCAAACATCCAGCCCGACACACAAGATGCTTACAAAGAAACACCGCTTTCCGCGGCTGCTAGATCGGGCAACGAAATTATGGTGGAGCGACTCCTAGAAATGAATGATGTGAGCCCAGACTCAAAGAATTTTGAGGATATGACGCCGCTTTCTGCGGCTGCATTAAACGGACATGCGAATATCGTAAAACTCCTCCTGAGCCGGGCCGATGTTAACCCTTATTCGAAGACGGGCTCCGGCGATACACCTCTCCACCTCGCCTGTACATGTGGGAACGAAGATGTAGCGAGGCTATTCCTAAATTTGGAAAACTTCGATCCAAATATCATTAATAATCATAGCAGCACTCCACTGTCTATCTCTGCCGAAGACGGGCACATAGGGATAGTGAGGATGCTGCTAGCCATGGACAATATCGACCTAAACCCGGAGGATGGGGATGGTGATACCCCGATATTAGCGGCTGCTTGGGGCGGGTGCAAAGAAGTAGTGAAGTTGCTGCTCGACCGGGAAGGCGTCGAATGTAATAAAGTGAACAACAAAGGAGAGACACTATTTCACATCGCGGTTCAGGGTGGAAACGAGGCGATTGTAAAGCTTTTGCTGGAGCGGGGAGATATTGATTCGGACGCTCGCGGGCTGTGCGGGAGAACACCGCTTGAGTACGCTATCAACAGAGGGCACTATGAAATAGCGAGGCTGCTGCAAGTCCCAAAGAGTCATCGCCGTAGCCTATCAGATCCCGAGTTCGGGGCGCCCCAGCCAAGAAATGTTGAGCCAGAGAGGGTCCTCAGGATGCCATAATCTCACCCACAGGGACCTTAGCCAATCCCTAGTCGAACAATATTGAAGGACGGAGCAGCAGCGAGGGGGGGGATTCCGGGGATTTTACTGCCGACAACTATCGTCAGAACACACTCGATCGCGTGCTCTTCCATCAATTGTGCGGGAGGGGATCGTTGTTTTTTTTCTTTCTTTTTCCAATTCCTATAAGTCGCCATTCGTTCGTCACCTATACGCACAAAAATCTATTTCTCGACCTCAAATTCGGTGTCTATGAGCAGGGCAGTCAGCTGTGGCCTGAGTTCATGCTGAATTTCACATGTTCCGCGGCAGATTTTCCTGCTTATTTTTTAATTTTATTTATTTAGCTATCCATCCTACGTCTTCAGTCCTGCCTTCCCGTTCATCTAATAATCACTTTCATTTCGTTTTCTCCGGTCAACGCACCTCACCACTCCAGTACCTTTCATAACTCCAGTCCGGTTGGTCGGCGGGGGGGGGCGGCTTTGGGGTGCCCAGGACCCCATACCGGTAACCTACAGTACCGTATCCGTTTCCGTTGTACGAGTGACTAAAAGTGATGATGGTAAACCCTAACTCACACACACTCCGAGGGTGCTGAATACCGTATTATAGTTGTGTGGGGAGCCACTTGTGTGCTGGCACATAAATCGGAAATACCCGAGCATTGGCTTTTTCCCGGAGACGGTTGCCTTGGGATAACACCGAGTTAAGCAATCTCTAAGACCGGGAAACCGGGTGGCTAAAGTCACCGCCGTGGCTTGCTGGGTTTCAAGGATAGTGGGTCATCTTTTCGATGGCACGGCCGGGTGTCGCCCATAGGGAAGGGTGAGTGAGGGGGCCGATTAAGTGACGGGTGCGGTTCAACTACGAGTAATAGGGGTTCAGTTGCCTACTACTCGAGTATGGTTTACGGCATGGTGTGTGCGGGGCTTGACGGGGAATATTAAGTTACGCGATACCGCGATCCATAATGTCAATCATTTTAGGCCAACGACTGTAGCAAGGTCAATTTGGGAATTGAAGCTTCTACTAGGACATGTGGTATGGCTCCCAGCGTCTCCCCAATCGCTACCCGACGGCAAAACAAACTTCCCTCACGATATTACCGTTAAGTTCTAATGCACCATCCATCTGCGAGAAGAAGAAAAAAGGGGAAACCCACACCAACAAACGCCATCTCTAAAGATCGATCCTAAACGAGAGAAATCACACCGCATCAGCACCTGGTGACCTCATCCCCCTCTCACCAAAGCTGAAAGACATCCAGTCCAACCCCGAACAGCCCCACTTCTACTATTGACACCCCCGCCGTCCGCAGGAGCCGTCTGTTGGAATCGATAGAGATAGTGTGTTGTGGTTGGTCATGGGAGACACGAGAAAGTGTGCTGGAAATATCATAGATTTGCCTGAAGGTTGGAAGAGGATTCTAGAGATATGTCTTTCCTTTGTTATGGCGGAAGTGGGCAGGAGAACTTGGACATGTGTGGAATTACGGAGATGGGTGTAGTGATCCATGGAGGGATCGGGTTGCTTTGATGATGTTTTGCTTATACTCGGGTGTGGAGGTGGGATACCGGACAGCCAGGGATTCTAGAGGCCTGACCGTCCTTGCCCTCATAGGAAATAAAGGAATGAGTCTGGCATGAGAATTGCTCAAACAAGCAAGAAGCTTTGACACCTCTAATCCCTGGCTGTCCGGTATCCCACGTCCATACCCGAGTACACCTGTCATTACCGATTAGTTAGAGAGAGAGAACGCAAGACGAAGTACGCACCTCTCAGCCGTCCCACCACAGCAATTCTCTATCCTATTCCGTTCCTTCACTACTGCGCATTCTGATAGCAACTTCCATTACAACACCGTCCGTTCCAAATATACTCTGCGAGAGCCCAATCAGTCTCTAGAGTACTGCTCCGCGACAGCAAGGACTCCCCGTTCACATTCGGCTCGGTAACAAGTCGACACCGTGCCGTTCTAGAAAGGCCCTGACAACCTCTTCGTGCCCGGCTAGAGCAGCAAGTTGCAACGGAGACTTACGCTGGTGGTCCAGGACGTTGAAGTCCACGCGCTGATTCCCAAGTAACAATCTGACCATCCAGTCATGATCCTAAGAGGTCGCGAGGTGGATCGGAGTTCGACTACGGTGGTCTTGATGGTTGGAGTCGAAGTGGGAATCTTCCAGCAGGATTCTCGCAGTGCTGATAGCAGTGTAACCGCGTCAGGCCACAACGTGGAGTGACACTCACGTCGTAGTTTTTTATCGGAGAGGAAGATGTGCACGACCTTGTCTCCCTCGTTCTAGGCAGCGAGGTGTAGAGGGGTTTTGCCGTCGTGATCTTCTAGGCTTGGATCCACGCGTTTGTCTGCTAGGAGTAGATGAACAATTGGTTCGCGCCCTTTAATCGCCTCTAGGTAGAATGGTGCGCCACCGTCGTGGGCCACTACGGTAGGTTCACATTTACTCGGGGGCTTGCGAGAAATAATCGAGCAAAGTGTTCGTGGCCGCCACAGGCTGCGGTGCATAGGGGTGTCCAGAGTCCGTATCATAGCCATCCTGGTTCACGTCCACCCGGAGGTCTATAAGGAGGGTTTGGGCTATATGACTCCTCCGTTGCTACTGTATTTGCGGTCGCAAAGTTCAGCAGTGTGCCACCATCGTTGTGCCCTCGGGGGTTAGGGTCAATGCGTTTGTCCGCGAGTAACTTAAGTATGATACCGGTATTCGCATTACCTCATCGTGCCCGCGCCATACCGCAGCGCGAGTAGGTACGGCAACTCGATCACCGACATCTAGAATGACTTTTTTCTCCTTGAGCAAGAGCTTCGCCACCTCCTCACCACCTTCTAACGCTGCAAAATAGAGCGGCGTCTGACCGCGACTATTAGCCGAGTTTACGTCAACTCTCTCATTTGAGAGTAGAAGCTCTATTACAACTTCACACCCTTGGACGGCCGCGACAAGGAGGGGTGGCTTGCTTTCGTGGCCCTGGAGGTTGGCCTCGATGTCTTTGGCGCCCAAGAGTAGTTCTACCAAATCGTCTAACCATTCGCAAGTTACGAATGTAATGGTGCCCAGCCTTTGTTGTCCTTAAGGTTGACTTTGACTCGAGGACCTGTGAGTAACATTTTCACCATTCCCTCGCCCTCGGCCTCTGTTATCGCAACATGGAGGGTTGTCCGGTCATTGCAATCCCGGAGACTAATGTCGGGTCTAGTATCGTCCCGCAAAACCCGCAGGGCTGAATCGCTGCCACTCCTGACTGTCCCTTTTATTGGCATCAACTCTTTTGTCGTCTAGCAGGAACTTTTGAGCGGCTAGACAAACACGTCCGTCCATAAATGCAAGATGTAGTACTCTACGACCGGAGGGATCGATCCCCTGGCCGAACGTCGATTCCTTCATTCTCTAGTAGATAACGTACCAATGCTACTTGAGTCGCGATTTGTGCCTCGTCTTCGGGTTCTCCGGGGTAATTGTTATGGTCCGCTGTGAAGAGCAGGGGTGTCTGGCCCCTCCATCCCGTATATTCACGTAGAGTCTCCTGTGGTCTAGCAACATTTTAACAACTATGCCCCTATCTACGTCTTCCCCCCGTGTAGCAATATGCAATAGCGTCCGGCCCTAAGAGTACTGTAGCTTAATTGTGGCACTTTTCCACCAAGCAAGCAGCGTACGGCTACCCCCTGCCCTTTGTATGCAGCGGCATATATCGTGGTGCGGTCATAACGGTCCATCAAATTCACGTCAAATCTATTATCGCCTAACAGCAGCTGCATGACATCAGGATTTCCCTCTGTCGCCTTTTCATATAGCGCCCCTTGGCCAAAAGGGCCAATCCATCTAACATCGACTTTCTTAACCTCCGGTAACTCCCGCCCAATCTTGCACCTGTTGAAGTTGATAGAGATAGTGTGTTGTGGTTGGTCATGGAAGGCACGGGAAGTGCGCTGGAAGGACAAGGTTCTTTACAGAAGTCATGGGAGTATGTTTCAGTGTTTGGCAGTATGATAGATTTGTCTGAATGTTGGAAGCGGATTCTAGAGATATGTCTTTCCTTTGTTATCACGGATGTGGGTAGAGGAGTTTGGATATGGGTGGAATGACAGAGATGGGTGTAGTGATCCATGGAGGGATCAGGTTTCTTGGATGATGTTTTCCTTGTACACCTGCCATTCCCGATTAGCTAGTGAGAGTGAGGAGTGAGAGACGAAGTACGCGCCTTTCCCAGCTATCCCACTATAGCGAGTCTCTATACTATTCCGTTCTATTACCACTGCGCATTCTGATAGTAGCCTCCATCACAACAGCACCGTCCGAATTGGGTCGCTGGCAACAACGGCGGTAAGGCCCCGCCATCCTGCCTTGACGTCTATGTCGTCCCGGGGGTAATCAATAGCAGTAGCGTCGCCAAGCGTCCGTGCCAAGTGGAGAGGTGAGTGCAAGCCCGGGGAATGCTTGATGTCCGCTTCGACCCCACACTCTAGTAGAGTGTTAAGCACAGTCTTTGGGTCCTGATTAGATCCCCGAGAAACATAGGGTCCTCAGTGTAGTTCAAGACCTCCCGGGCCCCCTCCAGAAGGAGTGTTACCGCTACTTTATCCTTTCTCTCCGCTGCTGAACACAGCGCCCCCCCCACACATTCTTGGGACCGCTCTCGGTATATACACTCGATGATTGTGGGGGATAGAAGTAATCAGAGATGGCTGTCCATTCGGTGAAGAAGGCATACACCCGCGAGCGAGAGCCCTTTGAATATTTGGGGGATAATCTCGGTAGGAAAATGTAAGAACGACATAAAGTACTAGTTTCCTTTAGTCCCCTTGGAGCAAGTAGCTTCGATTCGCCGATAGCAGCTACGGGGCCATAGAAAAGATACGGTAGCGTAGAGAATAAGGTTGGATGGAAGAGGGAAGGCTGAGTATGATAGAAAATGGTTGGTTTTTGCGTCATGTGTGACCATCAATCAACTGCGCTGTTTCGAGCCACAATACGCATCGTGTGGTCTATAACGTTCTACAATAAGGACCTCCGATATCAGCACCTCCTGTGTCAAAGAAGCTCGATTCTACGGAACATTTGGCGATAGTGGGGTAGATACGGGGGTAGGCACAGAAACTGCATTTGTGGGGGTGGTATAAGAAATAATCCTATCTGGTTTGGTGGTGAATTTGGATCCGTTATGTCTACCATCCTTGGAGAATACTAGAAATATGAATACTCAAAAATATTAGGATACCCGGGGGCTGAGGAGTCACGCTTCCATACCGCCTTGGCAAGAAAGAGTCCGAAGACTTATGAGATTAGCACACGACATGACTGGAATAAACGGTTACTTCTAATACCATGTTTTTTCCTTTTTTTGAAGGGGTCCTATCTCATAAACCCCGGTTCAAGGGAGGAATCCCCCTCCTTCCGTCTTTTTTTTTCTGATGCAACCCCCCCTTCCTTGCAACATTATCTGTTGTTGAGTACTGACACTTGAGTACGGCAATGTACATTATTCCACAAGCTCCAGAAATTGGCTGAGACCAGTGAGAATTGGATAGCAAGTCAGCCTAGTAGCGGAGAATATCAGGGACCTCTTCCTCCTCCTCTGCTTCTTGAAACCTATCAAGCCGATCACCATCAGGTATATATTTAGCCTTGCTCTCTATTCTTGCTCCCAGCTTGAGATAACAATTGTATCTTAGTTAAAGTAGTAATAGTAGTTGTATAATCGGCTACTGCCAGGATTGCCGAAAGCGAAACATCAGAATAGCGGCGAGTCTGGTAGTAATTTTTCCATAGTCATTTTGTAAAGTTAATCCCAGTTCCTGCCCTGTCTGAATTGTCACTCCACTCGGTTTGGGGAGACCAGAGCTTTGTCTCACGATCTAAGGCTACAGAGATATACATGGGAGGTAAGCAATCGGCAGAGCATAATATTTGTTCTCAGAATATAGAAGATTAGCCTGAACTTGCTTAAGTTAATATGTAATGGTAAGTGATATGAATTGCTAGAAGTTGCTCCATGTAGTCAAAAGCGTTTGGTATTAGAATGAAGATATGATAAGTGGGGATGACGTCACAGATTGGATTGCGTAATCGGAATTTGTCCACTGCGCGGTGTTGCCTATATCTTGTGGGTGGGGCGTGTCAGAAAAAGGGTTCTGTTTCTTCTCGCTTGCTCTTCTTTTCAGACAATCATTCCTTCCTTCTTTTTCTCTAAGGAAAATAGCTCTCGTTGTCCTCTTGATCAATCAGACTTGAATTGCACGAACTCCAACATAAATACTTGTCTGGAATTACCGGTGCACGACTAGTTGTGGCCCGCTGTCAGGCCAAACCGGTTCCTGGAAAAGATCAGTCCTTCCGGGCTAAGCCCGGAGCCTCGCCGGACTCACCGTTTGCGAACACTGTGCTGGAAATATCTAGTGCTTGGATACCGGAATTCACCTCCTGGGCTACGCGGAGGAGAAACACCGCAAAATTAGCCCTCGGTTGAGACAAAACAAATATACGCAGAACCACAGCACTCGCAGCACCCACAAGCCCAAAGAGCGACTTTGAAATCATGAAGAGTAGTAGAATAGGAAGCCTTAAATAAGCACTCTGTATGTAATTCTAATCAAGTCAGGAATCAATCGCCAGCAATATGCATCTACCTGCTACTGGACAACGAGTGATAGTCTATGAAATTAGCCAGGTAGAGCTCACAAGGAAAGATAAGTCGGGACTTATCAGCGTCAGTAACAAACAAGAACTGGCCTGCCCTAATTATATCTGGTGTTCTCGCTATCAGACGCGGTGCCAGTAGAGCTGAGGAGGCACGAAAATTTGTGTGGGGTCGTATAGGGGAGGTTGGGGTATGTTTAACTGTTAAGACAGTTAGTTAAAGGAAAATAGAGAGGACGGTAGCAGAGGAATTGGTACCGAGGGAACGGCCACTAAACCCTACTCCTGATCAAATCCCCCATGAATTGAATGGGGTCTGATATTACTGGCAGGGGGAAGAGCTGTTTACTTCAGGGAACTGCAAATTTAATAATGGATGTCTTCCTTATACGATCCCACAAGGTCGTTGCATAGTCAAAAGCTCAATTTCCTGTGCCTTCTGCCACCTCTCTATGGGAGAATACATGTCTGCGACTCAACAGATCTCGACCTGGATTTGGAGAGTAGACCGAAAGCTGTAAACGGCAGAGAAGACTGTATTTAAGCTCCAACGTTAGACTACCCGATGGGGTGCCGTGAATAATATGATAACGGAAACTACTGTCCCCCATCAAATTCGCCAGTGCTTTTCCACTAGAGCCAAGTGCGATACCCCCCAAGGGCGTGGTGACTCTCGCCACCCTACCGGTTCCGGCCCTTATCAAGTATTGCAGTGTGGTATCGCCATGCCGGGTATGGCGGTTTGCCGGATGTTCCATACAGGTGGGGTCCAAAACGTGAGTGGGTACACTACCCCCCCCAACATATCAACAATCCCATCGCTTCAACACGTCCATAAGCAACTTGTAAAGAAGAATTATCAACTACATTCTGAGCTACTATGGGACATGCCTCACAGCACCTCCTTATCCACATCTTGAAAAACCTCTTTTTGAGTCTTGATAGAAGAAGAATTGTACAGGTATGAATTGTTTGTAATAGTATCAAGGGGTATTGTGGCTAGGCTTTCTACTTTTATTGCAGAGAGGGGTGGAAGGGTCTACAGAAGAATAATTCAAGAATTTTCACTAGTTAATGATTTTGAGATTTATATTCAAGTTTCTGCAAGTATCCACGGGAAATGCCATTTCTTAACTCGAACAGATAGCTATATACAATTTCCCATAGACACCTACCAGAATATAGCCCTAATCTTGGTCCTATGGAAAAAATCTGGTAAACAGCCTAATGGCAACTTATAATACAATTTTGAGCGCTCCATCTATGACCCAAAGGAACTCCAGAACTAGTTTGAGCAGCACAGGAGGAATTGAATGCAATTGATCAGGGGAAGGTAGATAAATTTATTCATTTTATACTAACTCATGTTCTTCAAATTCCTTATTGTTGTGGAGGTTATCCTGGATAATAACATTTGCCTTTGCTATTATTATTTCAGCTCTCTCTCAGTGTCGAAGTTAGCTTAGGCAGTAAGTAGGTTTTTGTGGAGTAGTCCGTTTTCATAGCGTCATACCAATAGTGTATTCCGGCGAGCGCCTGGGCTTATCCCCACTTATTTTTCGGTCCCTATTTGTACTATATGCTCGAACAGAGAAGGAAAACCTTAACCCTTGAGTCTAGGGATATTACCTGTACCAAGCACTTCCCCCAACTACCCATCTGTTGATTTCAAGTCCCCGGAACTATGGCAGAAGAATTAGTTACGGGTGGCCCCCACGGAGCCCGGGACCCAGAATCCTGTAAACCAAGATACAGACTGCCAATGTTTTTTCCGCGGGACAAACCAATAGGCATAGCTATTACCCGGATCGCAACTCTGAATCATAACGAATTATTAACAGTTCTGCGACATCTTATTTTTGAGTGTATAATCAGTACTGTATACATTTCCCTTAACTCCGGACGATGGGCGATTCGGGGACATCTTCCGGGTCGCTGGAGACCGCGGGGCAGTGTGTCCTGGGCTCCGGTTATCACATGCACCAGGTACAGCACTGTACGCTGACAACCCCCGGAGAATAGTTTCTGACCAAGATGATAAAGAGAGAAGGATCAGAAAAATTCCCCAGGGGGAAGACAAGGCGGCTCTTTTAGAGACCGTTCATAAATTGTCACTCCCGGACTGTAGCTCGCGATGGAGGTTGGGCATTACAGTATTGCACTCTCCAGAAGAGACTCAAACGTTTGGGTTTTA